TATACAGTCTTGTCACCCCTACCCACAAGAAGTAATGAGAACAACAGAAGTACAAGCAATACAGGATTTACAAAGCATGTGTACTGGATTCGCTTTATTCACTTTCAATGACGCTGTCACACATCGAGAAAGTCAGTATGAACGCCATCACTTGCGTGGCACAAAATGATGTGGCGCCATGTCTTGTGTGATATTTGACGAAGCTGTGCTTTGTTGATTTTTTAAATGCTCTCTGAATGGTGTCCTTCAACTGATGGCTATTCTGGTATCGTTCATGGGAAACTCTCTCCTTGATAATACCCCCACAGAGCATAGAAAATTAGATTATATACTGGTGACAAGACTTTCAGACCACCATGTACATATATGCATACAGATAGGTAGGAATACGATACGACAATCTATCTATCTATCTATCTATCTATTTATCTATCTATCTATCTATGATAAAATATATATAAAATATATCTGATGAAATGTGATATATATATATTGTATATAATACACACACACACACACACATATATATATATATATATATATATATGATAAAGATATACTTTTAAGCAATGCTATAATTAAAGATATATTTTACATTTTAAGCGCTGAAGATAGAGCGTATATATATATTTAAAAGTGGGCATTTGGCTCAACAACGAGTGGCAACAATCTGCTCCATGAACACACACACACACACACACACACACACACACACACACACACACACACACATATATATATATATATATATATATATATAATGGAATACGATGTATATATGGTGTAATGTTTCCCTAAGTGCTTTTGAGTTAGAATTAGGTAGATAGATAGATAGATAGATAGATAGATAGATAGATAGATAGATAAGATTAAGTCAAGATAGAAAGAAATATGACAAGACAGAATTGATAGAGAGAAAGAGAGAGAGAGAGAGAGAGAGAGAGAGCGTGGGAGAGAAAGCGAGAGTTGATGATTTTGAGAGAGAGAGAAGGAAGGGATATAAGTGATATGTAAAAAAATGATGTAAAAAGTTTGATACAATATTTTCCCTAAGTGAATATCACTTATGTTATAATAAGTACCACCATCATCGTGAATCTCGTGTTAAACAAAAAAAAAAACTTTTAATTGAATACCTTTCGAAATTTACGGGTTTACCAGATGGCAGTCATCAGACGGAACCCTTAAAAAAATTCATTAAACGGGCAACTGTTAATCTTAATGTTTTCTGGCTTATCGGCTTATACAGATTATGGTGATGTTATTTTTAACCGCGAACACCTCAAGCAAGGCAGTAAAGCCACTTAGACACAAGGGGTTACTAAATATGGAAGAATTAGAAAAGAAACCTAATTAAGGAGCGAAAACAAACAGATAATCAGGTAGACAACAGATTGCGTTTACAGTAGACATTACGTTAAAATTTTTGCAGATTAATTCTGAGGTGCATGGAATCGGAACAGCGTTCCATAAACAAGAGTGCGATAGAGAAACTGTTAACATAGAACTTGCGGTTACATCTAGCCATTTCAATTAGAGAACAATAAAAGAATTGGAATTAAGAAGAGAGAAGAGAACGATTTACATTGCATTTAAATTTTTGAATATAAAAGCTGGAAGCCGGATGAAAGCTTCAAAAGTGAGAAGTGTGATAGAAGAAACTGTTAACATAGAACTTACGGTTGCATCAAACCATTTCAGCAAGAGAACAATAAAAGAATCGGAATTAAGAAGAAACTATTAGCATAGAACTTACGGCTACATCTAGCCAACTCAGTTGTAAATTATTGAAACGTCGTCGCCAGTCTAGGACTGCGCTTAAATTCATAAAGTCTAGGACCATATCGGAGAACTCATCTAGACAATTGCCATGAAAGTATTTATTTAAAAGGCACAGGGAAGTAACTTTACGGCGGCGGGAAAGTGATTGAAGCCGAGGCATCAGATCAGGACCAATAATATTGCTGATTCTTCTTTGCATTTTATCAAGAATCTCGAGATATATAGCAGAAGCACCAAAATATGTGGCAGCAATATTCTAAGCATGGACGAATGGTAGACTTATAGATATGTAAGACAAATTTTGGTTAGAAACATTGTTAAGTACGACATAGTGAACCAACTTTCATAGCAGTTGAGCTAGCAATGGAACCAATATAGTTTTTCCACTTCATGCCAGCGGAGAACGTCAGCTCAAGAAGGCGTAACGAATCACTATCTTGGGGCTTAGCATCAGCCATGCTGATGGAAGGCTGGAAGGTGTTTCTCAAATGATCAATAAAGAACAGTTTAAGTTTGGAGACGTTAAAATTAACAAGCTGCCCTTTGCTCCTAGTTCACAACAGGTGATGGTCGTTTTTGACATCCGTTGCGAATTTGATCTTATAGGGCTGATCAGATTTACTATTGAGAGAAGATTAAATGCTGTTTTTTTTTTGTTTTTTTTTCATCAGCATAGATACCAAGTGCGGAGCTTATGCCATCGGAGAGGTCAATAATGAAAAGTAAAAATAAAGTAGAGCTTTGGGGTACATTTGCATCACTAGAAAAGGATCTAGAAGAGTGGCCGTTCAGGATGAAACTCATTTTAGGTTTTGCGGGATGAGAGATCGAGGAGCCGAGATCGAATTCCGAGTCCGTCCTTCACTTACACGCGCGCAAGTCTTCCGCAGAAGGTAATGGCAGCCTACTGCGAGTAAAAAAATAAAATAAAAATAATCAATCTCCTGCATTGTACATGTATCGAAAGATGCATGATCGCTCCAAGCATGTATCACGTGCGGTACGCGTGACTGGATCACTTGAAGAATTTGGCCGGAGACACCGTGACTTTCCAACTTGTGAAGAAGACCTGTATGCCAAAATCGTGTCGAAATCTTTCGAGATGTCCAAGGCAACGGCTCAAGCTTCACCATTCTTACATTTAAAAGTTATTTTGATGACCTCCTTCATCAAGGAAGTTCGCAGTTTTCTATGTATTCTAAATCAAGAGATGAATTGACAAGCTATTTTTTTTTTACATTATTATTGTTATTTTATTCGATCGAGCTATCTCGGACATTCCCGAGTCTATCGTTCCAACCATCACGTTCCTGCATCAAGGTCGGAATATCATTATCGTGGCATTCTGTGTCATAACATAGCAGGTCAATGTAGATGGTTGCTGCTCGACCAGCCTGTCTTGCGCCATGGGTAGCTGTCCAGAGCAGTAGTTTTTATACGCCAACGATGACCTGCAAAACGCATTCTGCGCTCGCGTAAGATATAATCACGATAAATCCATATCAGGGAGAGATCCATATAGCGGTAATTTAGTTGGGTGTTGTCTCCAAGAAATAGAAGAGTATAGCTCTCAGCATTCGAGTGTAGGCTTCATCAAGCTTAGACTCAAGAGTGTTAGCGGCTCAAAATAATCTCCGTGTCAGGTTGTCTGGTTGGACGTTTACACTTTGTTATATAGGAATAAAGTGTCGCTGCCGACACTTGAGTTTGAACCTAGATCTCCAGTGAGCAAACACAAGCGATCCCATTATTGAATTAAGATAATCACGTGACCATGGGAGAAACGCATAACTAGGTAGTAGCATAAAATCTAAACGATCACCATTTCTACTCTATCCTCTATTACTATACGGATCACTATGCGGGTTATTTGTCGAGCGAGTATTTTCGAGCAAGTAATATTAGTGCGAGTGTTATTCGAAGGCGTCTAACGCCATTATTGTTCAACACCGTACTATAGTTGGGTCTGCGATTACAAAGTCTCTACTACAACGAGCATTACGAAAATGACAACGAGTATTCGTTGACATCACAAAAGTGGCAACGAGTGTTCGCTGACATCACAAAACACTTGTTGTACCATCATAGGAAATTAAGTTATCTTTATGCCTACGTATAATACCTATGTGGTAAGTGTGAACTTTACATTATTCACGTCTGGACGAGTGTCTTCATCTTTGTTGTTGTTAATTTCGTCCGTTGTGCTCACCGGCTTGTCGATCTCGGTAACCTTCAGGGAATTTCGAAATGATGACTTTATCAAATCTACAGTTGACCATGTCCAGGAATATCTCAAGATCAGCTCATATGTTTGACTATGAAGATTTCCTCAGTCGGCCTAGCGTAGGAATAAATACGATGTGGGAGACGTTAATAACGAAAGCGAGTGAAACGAGAGCAAGGCTTCAGCAGAAGCAGCCGCTGTAGAAAACAGAGTACAGTTAAGCGTGACAAGTAACCTAATCGATTACACCATTGGTTCTTGAATTTTGTAAGATAGTAATTGTGAGTTCAATCTCTAGGTTGGCAGTGGGTACTTGGACACAATGGAAATGGAGTGAGCAATATTTCTACTTCTGTTTCTTCTTCTCAGCCTGTGAAAATCCTTTGTTGGACGTAGGCCTTTCTCAGATTCACGAGGAGGAATGGGCAATTATCCTACCGCGCTGGCCCAGTGGGTGTTGGCAGGGGTGGCAGCTGTGACACTTTTGGACGATGTCTCTCTTCGATTTCTGATCGACCAAAAGAACGCAACGAACCCGACAGAAGATGGTCTGCGGAACGAGAACTCGGCCGGAATTCGAACTCGTCCCGCTGATTACTGTTTCTCCTCATTGTTGACCTTTATACAAGTCGCGCATCCATATGGAGAAGAATACAAGATGTTAAATCCGGAACGAATGCAGCATATTGATGGAACCCAGAAGGAGGATAAAAGACAACAATAAGAGAATGATTGATTTGTTTTTTACGGCTTATCAACCTTTTGCAGGTTATTTAAAGCCAGAGTATATTTTTAGATTGTAAGAATTTTTGGGAGATAATAAAGATTTACTGATGCAAATCCTACTTAGCTAGGGAGGAGAATAGGTGGATGCATAGGTTTTCCAAGGGTATTTACGCGTAACTGAATATAACGAACCCAAACGGGAAATGAAACCTGGATCTCCAGTTAACAATTCCGAGCCATTATCCATTACACCACCTGCACATCCAAG